TGGTGGTGAGCACTTGTAATCCCAGCTCTTGGGAGGCTGTAAACAGGTGGATCAGTACAAGTCCGATCTAGTAGTGAGACCCTGAATACCCTGTAGACCCTTCCCTAAAAATACAAAAAAAAAGAAAATAGAAAAAGAAAAAAACTACATTAAATTTACTCAACAGCAAAATTATTTAATGCTTTTTTCGGGATAAGTTTCCTTAAGAAATGTGTATGCTAAGGCATTTTAGAAGTCCTGGCATCCAAGAAGCTAGGCAATTTGTGCTCCTATCATCTGTATTTAAGTATCCATGTCCCTAAACAATTGATATAAGAAAATACTTTTAAAACATTCTAATCTGATTGGCAGGATATTTTAATTTTTATATTTTAGTGACTACTAATTTGAAATATTCATATTTTTATTTACCATTTGCATTTCCTTTGTGGATCAGTGCCTATTGCTTTTATGCTGTGTGCCCTACTGATTTTAAAAATTAAATTAAAAATAGTCATCTGTTTTATTGAGTGTGCTCTCTATTATTTGCACTTTAACTTTATTTGCAATATAAATTGTAAATTTTCAAGTAGTCCAACATATAAGCTTTTTTGCCCTTAGGATCCACTCAACTTAGAAATTTTGCTAATTCCATTTTGTATATACGTTACACACACAACGGTACTTGCATGCTTTCATCTGAACATTCATGTGCTTGTTAGATTATAGATGAATTAAACTTAAATGTCCTTTTTATTTTATTTCCTACTGCAGTATATTTGTTCATAATGTCCTAAAACAGTCTTTAAAATAATCTATTCTTCTCCAATGTTCATTTTCATAGTAATTTCTTATACGGAAAAAAATAGTTCCCTATTATCTAATCAAGTTCAGTGGTTCTTATGCCAGTTCTTATGCTAACCTGACCTTCTTATTGAACTTGCTTCCTAACGTTTTTAGTTAATTATCTTGGATGTTTAGATAGTCATAGCCTGCAGTTAACTGTGTTATTTTCTGATTATTTTGTGGACTCATAATATCATTAATATTTCTAGAATAATGTTGACTCTTAGTGGTGGTAAGGAGTGTCCTGCTTCCAGAGTTTTTCTGTTAGGTACAATGTTAATTTCAGATGTTTATTGTGTTAAAGCAGTATTTTCCTCACTTACTAACAGGCATATATATATTATATGGGAGGGACTGATGTGATCTCGAAGAGTTCTTTCAAGCATGATTTGTTGTAAAGCAAAGTCACCCCAAGTGCTTGGCCCCTTCTGCATGTAGCCATTACCCTTTCCACCAGTGGGATTCCATATATATAATATATATGGAGGTCTGTTGAATTTCATATAATGCTTTTTCCTTAATGGAGATAATTTATCTCCTTTGATATATTAATGAGATATATTATGCAGTGATGAACTTTCAAATACTAAACTACTCTTTAATTCCAAAAATATGGGGCCAGGGAGATGGCTCAGTGGAATAAGCACTTCCCTGGCAAGCGCAAGGGCCTGAGTTTGATCCCTGATTCCGCCAAAAAAATAAAAAATAAAAAATAAAATAAATTCCTAAAATATGCTCTATATAAATGTGATGTATTATTTTTATTATATCACCAAATTCAATGCGCTACTTTGTATTTAGTGTTTTTAGATTAGTTTTGCAATTTGCTCATTTTATCAGCAAATATTTGAGGATTTCCTAGACATTGGGCTCTGGGCAGAGTGGTGAACAAAGTAAACATCCCTTGCTTCCCAAACTTTGTCATGTAGAGAGTGGACACATACTTCATACATAAGTATCTATTAAGAGGTAAATTTAAAAAGTGTAGCAGAAAAGTAGTAGTG